ATCTTCCCTCGTTTGAACTCCGAGACATTTTATCGTGGGTTTCCACGTTAGGGAATAGGGTGGCTAGGGGACTGGAGTCACTCTGTGCTTCGCCAAAATTCACTGATAAGGAGCACTGAGCGCGTGGATGTACTGTCATCGTGTGTCGTCCAGGTCTTGTTTCTCCATTCTGCAGGTCACTTCCGTCACACTGCCTCTCAAACAAATCAGGAGTATCAATTAAATTTGCCCGGGGTTTGAAAACTCTCCCATACGATCCATTGTACTGTGCTTGATGGTTCTTCTCGCATCTTCTGAGTCACTCATATCAAATTGGTCAATGATTAGAGACCAAACAAACTCAGTCTCCTGGCCTTATTGAGGATCTGAGTGACGATGGCCTCTTACTCCATCAAACGGACTCTCTGTAGCCCATTATCACAACCTTGCTGCCTTGTGGTCAGGTTTTTTGGACCAAAGACTGGCTGATAACCCTAATCGTTCTCCTGTCTAAGCCTGGGTAACCTGACAGCATCCTGCCCACGCAATAAAAAGAATCTGTCAAACAATTTCAATACAATCATAGGATTATAAAGCTGGTTTTTTATTTTATTGCCTACTTATGTAGAAGAAAACCCATAATGAATGATGCCGTTCAAATTAAAAAGACGTTTAGTATCACATTCAGTTTTGGTCGGCTCTGGAGTGTTTTCCTTTGTCGCAGCAACGATTTCCTCAGTCCCTACTCCGGTTGCGCTTTTGTTACGATATTGTATCTATAAACCCATGTTTCATCATTGGTTACGGATTGTCGCAGACTGTTTTCTTCCGAATTTGAACCATCTACTACCTCATTACTGAATGTGAAACGGTTTCCTTTTTGCTCATTTGTCAAGGGACGTGGCACAGATTTTGCAGCAAGGCGATGCATCTGCGACTTTTTAAGTCAAAATTGCACTACACGCACCTCTACTAATGCCAACTTCCTTAGCAACTTGGCGAACAGTTAAGCGACAATGACCTTGAATTATAACTCACTTAAACGTGCTCGTTATCTGTTGACGTGGTGGTTGTCCGGTTTTGGGGTTCTCTTTGAAATAGCTGCCCGGTTTTAAATGTTAGTACCGTTCGTAACGCTGTTTGCGGCTTAAACAACCCTCTCCATAAGGTTGATGCAATATATGAAAAGTTTCGAAGAACATTTTTATCAACTTCATACAGTCTTTCACCGAAACATATTACTTTTCAAAACTCCTCGTATTTGACTGACTCACATGAAGTGATCGAGCATGCGTGAGGCTAAAGCTCAAAGTTCGCGCTGCGTGTTTACTGTGTTGACTCTTTGGTGCCCAATTTAAAATATCCGGTTTCTTTTCGTGTACGCCACATATAATGGTTACTGCGGCCTATAAAACCTGCACTATACACACAATATGGGCAGGAACCGTAACGATGGTTCTAAAAGGCAGCATAACTTACAAATTGGAGCTCAAGACTGGTGTTTCAACGTTCAGACAGTGGGTGGGAGACAGCTAAATATGGCAGTAACGTTATCGCCAGAATGTCGGAAACAACTTTGCTTGACCTCGAAACACAAACTGCAGGCGTACGCATTGTGTTAATGACGTCAGTTGTTTGTTCATGTAACCGCTCAAAACCTACTCAGTTGGGATTTGTTGAGAATATAGGTACTTGTTCTTCCAAGGTGAATAATCGCTGTCCTATGGGTTTTACAGTAACCGCGACAAGGGCGAAGCGCATCCTGGCTCTCACCGATTCGAGCCCAGCGGCGACCAGTAAGTTGCCGCGGAACGATATCTGTGAGGTGTTTGTAGGTAACGAAAATATAGCTAATACCTCAATGAGTTTCACACAATGTCTTTCGACGCTTTGAAGACTGACAATCACCAGTCTGTAGGCACCTCTCTAAATGGTCTGGGATAGCGCAGCAAGTCTACTCAACATGGGTCATGTCCGTCACATCGAATAATCGGCTAAACGGAGCGAAGACCCATGCACGGCGTTACGACTCTAGGGCTTGTCGATAGCTTGAACAGGCTTCACGCCGGACACAAACAGCCTACTAACTATGGAGCACAGGTACAATATAAGTAGCTGGTGAACTCGGGTGATCGTCGACTGGGTGACTAAGAGCCGTCCCCGGACGCGAACAGACGGTCAGATATGGTAACTCGGTCACACAACGCATTCACATTGGTCGAGGCCAGGACGTCGAAGATGGGGAGACCGCACTTTCCATAATTAGTATTTAGGGTTGACCTATAGATAGAGCCGTTCATTTTCCTAGAAGAGCACTTAATTCCTATGTCGGCCCAAGGGAATCGGCAAGCGCAGTGTCGCAGCAGGCCTACTGAAGTCTCTTACAACGTTCAACCCAACCGGATAATCGACGCGGCTGAGAATGCATCTGCTGCCCATCTTCCCCAGGTATTGTCTGAGGTTTTGCTGGTATGACTCCCGTCGCGAAATTCGGTTATGCTAATCGGGGGTCAAAACCGAACGGACTCCTTAGGACTGCATTTTGAGTGCCAGAGGACAACACATTGCACAGAGAGGGTGTATGGGTGAAGTGAAGACTGAGCCAAAAGTAACATCAACAATAACACCACTGTCCACCACAAACGGAAACACTTTTCGTTATATAGGACAGCAGAATGCGAAATGCTACAAGTTTGTACAGATACAAGCGAAAACAACAATGTTTGGTGGTCGAAGTGTTCGCTGAGCTCGGCAGTTTTGCTGCAAACGTCTCATTACCAACTGAGCTACGAATGGTTGCCTTCATATCACAACCATGTATACGAACCACAGGAACGTTAGGAGAGCGTTATTAGGAGTATGCTGTTCTTTTACATGTACATAGCTGTTATAACCAGTTGCGCACTTACTTTCAGTAACGTAACTGTTATGTTCCAGTGCACAACCGCAGCCGACAGACAAGTTCCGCCTTCTGGACACTGCTGGTCAGTTTCCTGTACAATGGCACAACTTGACTCCGATTTTTTGGACAACCTCTGTTCCGGGTTAGGCTGGCTGTTTCCGCGGCATTGTAATTATGGGAATGTCTATAGGTTATCTGCAATCGTTGCGGGTATTCTGGGTGTTGCAACCGCTTGATATCTAGTCCGAGTTGACCCACTGATTTTAGCCTTGTGGAGAACTTGTCCGAGCATACTCTGGATTGAACCGTCATCTACTGTGGGTTCCCCATGGAAGACTTATAAACTTCTCGCTGTGCTGGATAAATCGGCATGCTTGTGTCCCGTTTGAATTGTTTCTTCTGGCTCTCCATTTGCTGCAGTTGCATACAGAAATGGGATTGCCGGTTTCCATTTGCCATAACGCTAAACATTTATGTAATCCATTGTTGATACCTGCGTTGAATAGAGGCTTCCAGGCATTCTGCATGACTTCCAGTTTGATAAACACATACCGAATGACAGTCTCACTCTTATGTAGCTGTCGATGACTTCCGGCTGGAGGGATAATTGTCAAGAGACAGTCTCGATCATCTGTCACTGAACTAATCCATGCTGCTGCGTGACCAGATTGCTTTTCAGGGGCTTCATAATTATGCCAATTTGATGCATCCCACCTCCGTCACCAAAATCTCTTATGACTCCCGTAGTCTTTAGTGATAGACGGGATTCGCGAATTTGTGTGTAACATTAGGTCCTCTAGTGCCGGTCTATTTGGACCATTTTTCTCGCATGCCTACTAACTATTTAACAAACTGTGGGCCACCTGTTGACTTTCGCCTCGTTTGATGTGGTCCTAGTTGGAGAGTGTAACCAAACTTACTTTGATATCGAGTTTCATCGTTGCTTTTCTTCCTCTCACATTGAGGTTACACGTTGTCGAATTCGACAACGCCTTTTAGTTCTCTCCCTAGCTTTTGGCCCCATCCCTTCATCCGGCTATTACTCACTTTCCTCGACCGTATCCTCATTAATAATTTTGCGGTTTCCTGTTTCACACCATATTATGGTGATACAATTATTGACAAATAAGTCTGCATCAACTCCATGTTCTAATCACTGTTAAGTTTTCTTGAATTTCATCCGATATTTCCTGATCGGCTACACTTTTTGTAATGTTCATTGATCTTAGCAAACCGATATAATTTCCTCTCTGGCTACCTACCTCACTTGCATGAAGTTGATCCATCAGCTACTTGTAATTCCGCATTCAAGCTGTACTTTCACTCCCAATTAGCATACTCTAATCGTTACTGTGCGCATCTCAGCCAAACAGCGGATGTTGGGAAGACACATCATCTTCCAACGGTTAAACACGACGTAACCTCGATCAGATTGTACGAAATAACTTGCAATGCAGGTGGGGCTTCATTTGTTGCATGGTTCCCTGAGTTTGGTAACTTGATTATGTACATTTCATCACCAATCGAAGTGACATCATCAGCGCGTCATTGTGTAACGGACAATCTCATCTGCTCGTCGATCACGGCCAGATGACCACATCAATGATATTGTCCCCTACACAGTTACGCAATGATTGTGTCGCCTGGATTGGTGACGAAACACGTACAGCCAAATCGCCGGGTTCAGCAAACCACCCAACAACATACCGTGTTGCTACTCATGCGAACTATAGTTGGATGTCTTTCGTGCTTGGTTGGTATATTCTATAGTCCGTCCACATTTTGACTCATCCTGCGTTGGTTTATCCTATTTAGTTTGATAGTAGCTGAAAGGTGAACATACAGTTCTGATCAGTTTCATCTATTATCTTTCCGAATATTTCACCCAGCTACTCATAATTTGGCACCGTCGGTGATAGTTTTTCTCAGTCTAACTGATATTTTTCAGCTTTTTGTGAGACTTGTTTACATTGTGCTATGGGTACACACACAAAATGTTTCGTCATTGTCTGCGACTGTTTTTTTTCACGAAGTTTTCTCTGCATAGTGAATATATTGGTTTCTGCTATCTGCATTTTTCACCTTATGTCTCGGTCTCATTTCTTCTCTCCTATCCCAGCAATCCGCAGTGGGCACCTTCAATTTTCTCAATTCGGAAGGTCGGTATGTAGCAGCTGGTCTGATCCCGCCCCACCGAATCGACATATACGATCCCGCAGATAGAGAGGCGAGTCAATTATTGGCGGCCGAGGAACTGGTTGCAACTTCAAACTTGTTACAACAGAAGTCGTCAGAAGCACAAAAGTTTCTGGAAGATGCCTCTGCTAAACCCCTTAAACTCATACGATCTCCACTCCTTGACCCTGAATCGGACAGTGATTCCAGGGACAAACCATAACTGTACATGATTGCTATTTGTTTTCAAACAGGACATTGTCCCCTAGAACGTCTTGTTTCCTTCATTTTTCCGGCGATTGCTTTTGATCCTCGATGTCTGGTCAGCATTTCATTAATGTGTTTGATGCAGGTTAAAGTGGCCTTTTTATTTAGTAGAATAAGGTACTTTTAGCTTTTCGGAGTAGTGTATTTGTGATCTGTTGTGTTTTCCGGTTTTTAACAGCTGATTATCACATTTTCTTAGCGCATTCATGGGTGGGGGAAGGTGAACGGACGTGGTTGCTACCAACCATATCGTCTCTCTGTTTTCACCGCTTTCAGTTCCCGCACCATTTCTATCACCGGACCAAATTTCTGGGTAGCACTGCGATCAATTCTCGACTCCTTTGACCTTAGGGCCAGTCACAACTATGGGACCGCGTTATACATCCTCAGCATCGTGATTTCTCCCACACCGAGATTGAACTACAACGTGATGCAGTCTCTTGGGCTTTCATTGTGCGCTGAGCTACACTGGCAAACCTGCGTATCTGCAGGCTCAATGATCATTGGCCGGCGGCCGAATTAACCCCCTCTAGTTATATTTCTTATTTAACTCTGAGTTAGGAAGTGTATGGTTGATTGAGAACACTTACAACACACGACGTTCATCAATCCATGTCATATGATCATAATCATCCAACGCTTGGGGCAGTCCGTTGTGCGCATTCCTGCTTGAAACGAGCGCGACAGATGGACGGTCGTTGACTTAGTTGTTCAGGTAGCTGACTTGCAATCTACATATCACCACCGCTTCGAGGCTGCGTGTGATCTCACGACACCCCGAGCTCACACGCGACTTGTGCTCACGTGTAAGCCAAACTACTGTACGGCACATTATTAATACCGTTCACTCCTACGCACCTCGGTCTGAACGCTGGGTGAAGTTTTCAGACAATAGTCCAGCCAGTCCGCTGGGTGTCACTTGCTCCCACTTTGGAGCTGATACCTGGAGCTCGTGAACCATTGGAACCAGACACGATTTCCTATTAGAGAGACGAAGCACAGTTACTGAATTCCGAAGTCTCACTCAACCATTTCAAATCGATCGTGGCTACCCACTAGTGGTTAAGTCGGCCGTTACTTTTCCGTTATGTTTTGAGACCGGTGGTTGTCGGCGGTCTTTAAAAGATCTGGTGCTTAATTATTCGAGGGCTGTAGGAACATGAGTCTTGTTGACATGGTTGGCGGCATCCGGTTTCGGATTTGCCTGTCACTGTGGCAAGCCACAGGACGCCTACGCCTACAGAGGGACCATGGATGGCTTGCGCTGCACCACCCACAGCTCCAACCACACACCCCATATCCAGTGTAGACCCGAAGGAATAAGACCGGGAGGCATGCGGATGGGAACCACGTTTTATCAACGGAGCCGGCCCACACTCCTTCACAGGCAAACACAAGCACACTGTATTTGGGAATCAAGCGCACACAAGGCGGTGGCTGGACCGTAGTCCGCTCCACACTGACTGCATGGAACCACTCTTTGATCCTAACACGGCCACAAGGACCGTGCACCCTGTCCCCTCCAGCAACGACCAACTGTCTCCTGGAGCCAGTATGGACGAGGTAGTGTGTAATAGACAGGTAGGCACCTTGTCAACATGCACATCAAGCGCAGCCACACCGGGGATATCAAACAACAGCCAAACACTTGAGAGAGAGAGAGAGAAAGAAAAAGAGAAAAACTCGATTACTGCATAAGGAAACGGTGATATAAACCTTAATTAAATAGCATATGTAATACGTTGTTTACAAACAAATCCTAGCTAAGTGCACGAGGTCAGGAAATATAGTTCACGGAATGCCACGAACACAAATATGCTACGGAAATCGAATACAATTGGCTTAGGCGATGTGTGCGAGTTAATGGAATAGAGTACTGGTAGACATTCACATGAGAAAGAAAAGCATTAAGGCACAAACTGTAAACCCACCACCTGAAATAAAGAGACTTAGCATGCAAGCACGCGGTTAGTAAATCGAATTCAGCGTGCCTACAAACGCTGCGCCGGCTCGCCGTAATTCTCTGCAGGACCCGTCGTCGCTTCTGTAGTGGCCCCAAAGGACCTAGCTCATAGCCCATTAGACATTTATATGAGAAAAAAGGCATTAGGACAGAACAGAAAACCTACCACCTGAAATAAAGAGACTTAGCATGCAAACATGCGGTTAGTAAATCGAATTCAGCGTGCCTACAAACGCTGCGCCGGTGCTGCCTACGTTCACTGCTGGACCCGTCGTCGCTTCGGCAGTGGTCCCGAGTGACCTCTC